TGAAAACAGAAGGAAAACAAAATCCTCAACAAAACAATGGCAAAACAAATCCAGGAATACATGAAAAGAACAGTACCATGATCAAGTGGATTTTATCCTGGGTATGCAAGACAACTTCAACACTCAAAAATTAATCAGTGTAATTCATTTCAACAGACTAACCAAGAAAGATCACATAATCATCTCAATATTTGCAAAGCAGCATTTTACAGAACTCCTTTTTGATAAAAACTCATAGCAAACCTATAGAAGGGAACTTCTTCAATAAAATAAAGAGCATCTACAGATACTTACACCTAAATACTAAGTAATAGTGGAAGACAAAGTTTTTCTAGTAAGCTCAAGATCAAGGCAAAGATATCCATTTTCATCACTCTTATTCAACAGAGTGCTCAATAGAGCATAATCAGTTAAGATAAATCAATAACAGAAAGGGATATTGGGAAGGAAGAAATAAAACTGTCCTTTTTCCCACTAATTGTATTATTTTCTATGTAGAAAATCCCAAAATACCTACAAAAAACTATTAGAACTAACAGTGGGTTTAGAGAGATTGCAAAATATAAGGCCATTATACAAAAGTCAATGGCATTTTTACATACTAGCAAGCAGCAGTTTTAAATTTAAAGTTTTAAAAGTATTCTTTACAAAAGCATCCCCAAAGAGGAAATACTTAGGTATAAATCTAACAAAATATGTATGAGACCCTTTATGCTGGAAACTACAAAACAGATGGAAAAAAATCCAAGCACTAAATAAAGCAATATACCATGTTCATGAATTGAAAAACAAGTATTATCAACATATCATTCCCTCCAAACTGATCTGTGGATTCAACACATTCCAATCAAATTCCCAGCATAATTTTTTAATCAAAAGTTTATTCTAAAATGTATATAGGAATCAAACCACAAAAGACTCTTAATGATAGAGAACAAACTGAGGGTTGCTCGAAGGGGAGGTGGGTAAGGGGATGAGCTAAATAAGTTATGGGTATTAAGGAGGGCACTTGTTAGGATGAGCACTGGAAGTTATGTATAAGTGATGAATCACTAAAATCTACTCCTGAAACCAATATTACACTATATGTTAACTAACTAAAGTTTAAATTAAAATGATAAAAAAATAAAAATTAAATGGAGAAGCAAATATAATCAAAACAATGTTTTAAAATAATAAAGTTGGAGGGCCCACACTACCTGATTTCCAGACCTATTATAAAGCTATAGGAATCAAGGGTGCCTGAGTGGCTCAGTCAGTTAAGCATCTGACTCTTGATTTCAGCTCAGATCATGATCCAAGGGTCATGGGATTGAGCCCCACATGGGGCTCCACACTGGGCATGGAGCCTGCTTAAGATTCATTCTCTTTCTCTTTCTCTCTCTCTCTCTCTCTCTCTCTCCCCCCTCCTCCTCTTCTTCTCTGCCGCTCTCCCCTGCTCACACGCTTTCTCTAAAATTAAAAAAAAAAAAGTTATAGGAATCAGGACAGTGTGATATTAGAGAAAGAATACAAATATAGATTATTGGGAAAATATAGAGGCCAGCAATAGACCCACTCATGTATAGATAATGTATTTCTGACAAAGATCCCAAAGCACATGATGGAAAAAGGATAATCATTTCAACAAATGAGATAGGAATAATGGACATCTATATTGAGGGTGGGAGGGAAACACTTTCATCCATACTTCATATCATATTTAAAAATTACCTCAAAATGTATATCCCTAAATGTAAAGCCCATATCTCTAAAATTTCCAGAATAAAACACAGAAAAATGTCTTTGTAACCTTAGGCTATACAAAGATTTCTTAAATATGATAACAAAAGCACAATTCATAAAAATAAAAAACTTGATGAGATGGATTTCATGTAATTAAGAATCTCTGTTCTTCAAGGGACACCATTAAGAGAAGGAAAAGACAAGCCACAAAACTGGGAGAGAATATTTGTAAATTGTAGACCAATAGAAAAGATCCAGAAAAGTATCTCATACTCAGAATATAAACATAACACTCAAGTCTTGAAGATTAAAAAGCAGTTCAATAACAGTGGGCAGAAGATTTGAAGACTTTACTAAAGAAGCCACACAGATGATAGATAACTGCATGAAAAGATGCTCGAAGTCATTAGTTATTGGAAATGAAAATTAAAATCAAAACAAGAGTTAAAACCTATGAATGGCCTTGAGATTTTATCCTACTTGCACACTAACAACTTTGCCTGCTACAATTTTTATGGATGTTGGCAGAAGACATAAGACTTGAGTCAGAGACAAAGGATGTTTTATTACAGCACCACATACAACATGAACATCACATTCACGTCAGTCCCCCACTCTCCAAGTACTACGGGGGCGATGCAGAGGCAGGCTCAGATAGATGCCCAGCATGGAAGCCATGTCACAGCCAAGGAAGACCCAGCTTGTGAAATCTCTACCATTTGCAAGCAAATCTGCCTAAGCTTTGCCCTGAAGAGAGACATTATCTTTGTTAGACTGAAAGGCAAACAAATCTTCTCTCTGCTCTGAAGAGAGATGCTATCTCTATCTTCCAAGGCTCTTTGTCATACAAACATCCTTGAAAAGATAGTCTAAAATAAGAGGCGGTTTGTGACTTTGCTCATAGGACAGAGTGGAGACCAGAGTAGAGTGATCTCCCAATAAGAGCTATCAGTACACACCTGTGAGAATGGCTGAAAAACATTTTATGATAACACTATGGTAAAGTGAAAATGAGTGACTACATTAATTTTGGGAATGTGAAGTGGTATTCAGCTAACAGCAGAATTTCTTAAAGTTAAACGTATACTTCCCATATGACCTACTCCTAGGTATTTACCTCGTTGAAATGAAAACTTACATTTGCACCCAAACCTGTTTCGCAAATGTTTATAGCAGCTTTATTTACATTGCTAAAAACTGGAAACAACCCAAATATCCCTCAACTGATGAATGGATCAACAAACTGTGGTGCATTCATGCAGTGGAATACTACTCAGCAATTAAAAAAAAAAAAGAAGCAGCAAACTACTGAAACACACAGCAACATGGATGAATCTCAACTGCATTACTGTAGGCACATAATAAAAGAAGCCAGATTCAAAAGGCTACCATCTGCATATTTCCATTTATATAGCATTCTGGAGAAGACAAAATGATAGAAAGAAAAAGTACTAGCAATTTCCCGGAGCTGGTGGTAGAGAAATGAGTACAAAGGGACTTGGGGGAATTTTCTTTGAGGTGATGGAATGGTTTATACCTCAGTTGTGGCAGTGGTTACAAGACTGTGTATTAAAACAGAGCCATATACTAACAAGGATGAATTTTACTATATGCAAATTATAACTTGAAAAAGGGAGAGGAAAAAAAGGGAAATAATATGTATAAACTCTCAAATTGGACTTCCTGAGCTGTGCCTCTTTCTAAATATGGATCTTGGGTATATTCTCAAGTTCTCTAAGCACAATCTTCTCAACTGTGATGTGAGAAAAATAATAGTATCTATGTCTTAGAGTTGTTAGCTTACCTTGTTGTAATGATGTTCCATCATTAATTATTATTTGGTGTCCTATTATACACCTAGCATTATGCTTGAAGTTAGGGATACAAAAATTAATCTATGATGTGGCTCCTGCCTTCTGGGAGGCTATGATCCACAGAACAAACATCCCCTGAATAAATCAATAAACAAATTGTTTTACTGCCGTTAGATTATTACAACAATTACACACATTTTAAAAATCCAATTTCAAGCAACTATTAAGCCAAATTCATGTTAATCATTTTAAATACAGTTCAACTTTAGCAAGAATTTTCTAAATTAGGAATAGAAATTTCAAGTCAAATCTAAGAAATCCTATTGGTTGCCCAGATGTTTCTAAAATTATCTCTACAGATAATTTTTAAAAGCTTGAAACTGAATTTATTTATAAGTTTGTCATATTCAGAAAGAATATCAGCCTCCCTTGTTTTTACCAATTTATTCTAGCATTTCAACATTAATTTAAGTAAGAGTATCAAGAAAGTACTATAAAAAGAATATGAAATTATGTTTCCTCATTTTCTAAGATTTCATGTATCTGGATAAAATGTTTCCTTAAAAAGATAAACTAAGAGGAATCACTGAAAATGGATGAAGAGGCTGTGAAGTATTCCAGAAGAGTCTGCTTCCCCCAAAAAGAAAGGAATTAGTGACATCACCTTTAAGTCACATAAAAGATCCAAGAATCTTGGTGATATATGTATGCATTACAAGCACACATCACATATACACACCCAACACCTTTCTTGGCCTGTCAGGTACCTCTGCCCCTCAACCAAGTCGAATGTTCTTACTTCAGGCTTAGAGCGTTAGAAACATGAGAAATTCATGCCAGGACATACTATAGCTACTTTTACAGAGTTAATTACATTTTCACTATATTCAACATATCTGACAGGATAAAGCTCTAAAGACAGTTTGTTGTAAATGTGTCCTTTCCACTCAGGGCTTAAAGAAAATCAAGCTATTCTTATTTCAGAGATTTCCTATCTACTGTCATCTCACATCACGTCTCAGTGAAACGCTGTGAAAAGTGTTCTTGGAGTGTTATCAACTAAAAATTTTGCAACAAGTATGGCTTTTTGCACAGGATTTCACACCGAATAATATAGTAACATCTAGAGATTCCTAACCAAGTGAAAAAAAGAGAACGTTTTAAAAGATCGTTTAAAAAGCATGACATATGCACAAGGGCTTCTCAAACAGAGCCCACAAACTTGTTTTCACCATTTTGCTTGCTCTGAACTATTGTTCTGGAGTATGGAACCCACAAATACAACGTTTTATATATTGAAAATATTCCTAAGGAGTATATCTCTCAATAAGAAGCCAGTATGTGGAACCGTTTAAAGAGAGAGAAAAATAAAATTCATATGATAACTAAAACAAGTCAAAATAAAATTAGTAGAAATGTCCTTTGGCAGAACCCAGAGAAAATAATCACTGGCTACCTTACCTTGCATTTTTCCATTAACATTTTCTAAAATACCAGAGAGCTGGCTGTCAAAGCTGTGCTGAAGACCACTTCTTTGCTTTTCAAGGTGACGTTGTTCCTCAGCAATAGAAGAGAGCATATGTGGTGGCTTTTGGTCATCAAGGGTCTGACTGGGCCACTGGGACATTATGGAACAGGAGTCCTTTTCAGGTTGGCTAATTCTGGGGCTTGAACTTTGAGCAGAGTCCTGCAAATCACTATTACAACAGGAGAAATGATCCACTTCAAGAAACAAGGGATTTTCATCCTCTTGACGCCAATCATCGCCTTGTTCTTCGTCTTCAAAGTAAGCTTCCTGAATCTGAATATCATCTAAGTCCTGGTCTAGCTTTTCACTTAATTTAGAGTCTTGCTTATTTAAGTTAACCAGCAAAGCAGATAACATATCTCCTGCTTGCTGGAGAGCTCCATAAACCCGAGATATCCAGGAAGAGAGAGGCTGGAAGAAGTTCTGACCATCCTGGGACGCCATGGCCAACACCATGGCCAGCTATCTGATGTCTACAAGTCCACTTGTTCAGTTCTTTCAGTACTCTGGACTTAATGTGAACTACAGAATAAGCATGATGACAAATTAAATTGGAGATCTCTTAATGGCTGTGAATAGTTCACTCTCAAAACTTCTCAGCTGAAACAGAGGAAAGAAATACTTACACCTATTAAAGTAACAACCTCAGACCCATTACCAGATAACCTATAATCAATGTCAAACAACATTTGGAGACAAAAAGAGATCATCATTGAAGTCTGAAAGTAGCTAAATAAAAATGACTGTGGAAATCTAAATGTAGATTATTTCAATGCCTATTCACCTACTCAGGCATGTGCAAAACTTCCATCAGCAGTAATGGGCTCTATTCATGTGGACTGAGAGAAGTCTATCCGCATAGACCATACTTCACAATGTGAAAAGGATAAATGAATCTTCATTAAGAGGCAGTTGGACATGACATTTCAAAATACAGGAAAGGCTGGATGCTTCATCTACGAACCTGCAGATCCCAGTGAGCAGGCTAATAAGCATCTCTGCTTCATGACACAAAGATTTATCCATTCAAAGGAGATGTGTGCCTGGAATTAAAAAGCTTTTAACAGATATTAAAGTAAGATTTTATATTTTTGTGCGATTTCTAGAAATCATTTATATTCTTGGGGAGCAAAGAACCACTGCAAAACAGAGTGGCAAGTGGAGTATGCAGCTTATTGGAGACATGATCCTCGCATCTGGTTGCCTTTGTCTGTGTTCCAGCCTCCCCAAGACATCCCTCTGCAGCCTGAAAGATTCCTGAGAGACCTTCCTTCCCACAAGATTCACAACCTGAAGGAGGGGGCTATAAGGACATCAACATAGCAACAGGGCACAACGAAGATTCTAGAGCTAAACATCTATACTTTTATACACATGCATGCATACAAACATATACATAAATTCATATACATATGTATGTGTATTGTGTGTGTATATATATACACACATATATATGTATATGTGTGTATATATATATTGCACATATATGTGTGTACACACACATATATATGTGTGTGTATACACATATTTATATGTGTGTGTATATATATATGTTATATATGTGTATATATATATGTGTGTGAATATTTATATATATCTTATTGCCCTAACAATGCTCATCAACAGCTCAGGATGAATGCTATAAATGATGGCAGAGCCTAAATTCACTGATTGTGCTTAACTACCCCATCTCTTCTATAGCAATAGCTTCCTTCTGACTCAGTCTACCAGCATTCCTGTATATTTCAGGCTTCTTGACCTCAGGCTACTGCAATTGATAGGATTGCCTACCTTCTCCTAAAATTTTCCTTCTAGCTTTTTTTTTTTTTTTTTTTTTTTAGTTTTTGTAATAGCCATTCATACATGCATTGATTCATCAATAAACAATACTCATCACCTGGGAGAGTTGATCCATCCAATAAGGCTCAACATTTTTGTATACAAAATATACATCTCCAGCCCTTAGCTCAATCCCTCTATACAGGTTTGTATCCCTGGTTATCTAAGCTAGTGGTTCACAAACTTTGTGGGAGAATAACCTGGTAATCTAATTTAAAAAAGAAAAGAGTCTCAGACTGGTTGAAGGAATACACCCTGGATCTTTTTATTTTTGTCAAGTTTCTCAGGTGACTCTGACAAATACCAAAGTTTGAGAGATGCTGATCTGAGGAAAGAGCTACACTTGGGGGTCTCACCAAAATCTCAAATTCAGCCGTCAAAACTAGCACATAACTTTTGCTACTATAAGGATTCAACACCCTAGACTCACAACTGTGACTTTCTCTCTTCACCTCTGCTCCCTTACATTCCTTACATTCCAAGTTCTGCTAGCTTTAGGTATATGAAGACTCTTCCATTATGTTTGTAGAGTGATCACTTTTCCTACACTCTAATCTTCCCAGATATTACATACCTAGTTGGTTTCCGTCTCAAATCTTCTCCAGCCTCAATCCATCCCTTGAGGTTTGCTCACCATAACCTGACCTTCAGTCAGGTGTATTGTCTGTCTCCTCCCCTAGAATAGATATTCCTAGAGGGCAGGGACTGTAGGTTTTATTCCCTAGCTTATCCACAATGTCTAGAAGTGAGCTAAGTATGTAGTCAATTCTCAAGAAATGAACGAATGAGTGCTATTTAATATTGTGCCTAGAACAGTGTGTAGCATAAAGTGTGTACTCAAATTCACTAAATTGATGAATAGACCTCAGAATTGTTGAAAACATCTTAACATCACCACACAAATCCCCTGCAGGGTATTATAAAAGGGTTCTTTCAGCATTTCTTCCACTCCATTTCACCACCCACACAGTTTTTGTTTGTTTTTCCTCCACAAATATTGTGCCTCAGTTGTGCTTCAGATGATCACAGACCTAGAAATTTCCCTGAGAAATCACTGGGTTTAGCTTCTAACACTGTCTTTCAGTACTTGAAATGTTTTAAGACGGAGATTGCATATCCTCCTTAATAATCCTTTCTATTGTTTTATTACACAGAGAAAACTTTATTTTCATATTCAATCCAAAATCTTTTAAGCCAGGGTTTTCTCATCCAATCTTTGAACTAGTAACAGCCTCTGTTCTTTTTTTTCCCCACAAAATAGGTTTATTTTAGAAATTTTAGGGAAAAAAGATAAGCAAAAATAAAAGAGGTAATAAGGCATAGTCTCCATCACCCAAAGATAACCAGCCTTTTATTCTACGTCCATAGGATAATTTTTTATACATATAACTCATTGTCAAGTTAGCTTATATACAGAGTATACAATGTGCTCTTAATTTCAACATAGATTCCCATGAATCATTACTTACATACAACACCCAGTGCTCATCAAAATAAGTACCCCCTCAATGCCCATCACCCATTTTCCCCTCACCCCTGCTCCCCCCCCTCCCATCAACCCTCAGTTTTTTCTTTGTATTTAAGAGTCTCTTATGGTTTGGCTCCCTCTCAATTTCTAACTACTTTTTTCCTTCCCTTCCCCCATGGTCTTCTGTGAAGTTTCTCAAATTCCACATGAGTGAGAACCATCCACGTTGTTGCAAATGTAACAGCTCATGTTCTGGGTCTCATATCTCTTTCTTTTGTAATCTCTATCAAAGCCTCTAGGCAATTTTTCTAAAAAAAATAAAGCTTATATCACTCCCCTAGTTTAAAAGGAAAATCAAAAAGGGGCGCCTGGGTGGCGCAGTCGGTTAAGCGTCTGACTTCAGCCAGGTCACGATCTCGCGGTCCGGGAGTTCGAGCCCCGTGTCAGGCTCTGGGCTGATGGCTCGGAGCCTGGAGCCTGTTTCTGATTCTGTATCTCCCTCTCTTTCTGCCCCTCCCCCGTTCATGCTCTGTCTCTCTCTGTCCCAAAAATAAATAAAAAACGTTGAAAAAAAAAATTAAAAAAAAAAAAAGGAAAATCAAAAAAGAAACCCTACTGAGGTTTTCCTATTACTTATAGTGCAGAATTTGAGCATTGGCAGCCCATCTGTCAAAATCACCAAACTCTGTGTTTATTGATGCAGAGTTCTTTAAAAATTAATTTTGATGCCTCCAATTCACTACAGTCCTCATCTCTCCCTGTTATACTTGCTTTATTCATTTTTCTGTAGCCTGCCTGACCCCCTGGAAGCATCTGAATTTTTAAGTCCTACCCTATAGGATAAAGTTCACATTCTTTACTATGGCATACAAGAGAAGAGATGCTCAAAAAATGAACAATCAGGGGTGCCTGGGAGACTCAGTCAGTTAAGCATCTGACTCTTGATTTCAGTTCAGGTCATGATCTCATGGGTTCGTGAGTTGGAGCACTGGGTAGGGCTCCGAGCTGGGTGTAAGCCTGCTTAAGATCCTCCCTCCCTCCCTCCTTTCCTCCCTCCCTCCCTCCCTTTCTCTTTCTCTCCCTCCCTCTCTCTCTTCCTGGCTCACATGCATGCTCTCTCGTATCCCAAAATTAAAAAAAAAAAAAAAAAAGAAGAAGAAGAACAATCAGGACTACCTAACTAACCTTAGTACTGGAGGGGTCCTAGAGACCTCCTGTAAGTTGCCAACTCTTTAACTGATGAATCACTGGATGTGAGGACTTCTGGGAGGTGGAGTCTCAGATCAGTGGCTATTTATCAACCAGTTTGGAAGTATTTCAATTGCTTCACAACTCACAAAGCCATCCCTCTTGTCCTGACAGAATGTCTAGCTCTGTATGAGCTGTTCCCAATAACACTGCCCCACAGTGATAACTTGGCTATTCTTCACCACCCCTCATTGTAAAGTCCTATGTTCCAGTCACACTAACACACTAAGCATTTGTCATAGTGACTGTGCTCTTCCCTGACTTCTGTTTGCTCTGCCCAGATGCCTTCTCTCCCTGGCCTGCCTGGCAGATACTTACTCATTCTTTACAATGAAACTCCTATTGCATATGTCAACACTTCTACAGTCAAAGGTGTGGCCTCAGAGTACTTTAAATGTGTCTCTATGATGTAAGTTTTCACTGGATATGGTAATTATTTGTCAATCTTCCTCTTCCAATGGACACTATTTAGAATTAATAATTCTAGGACCCACACAGGGTAAGGGCTCTTTATCTAATGTTTGCTATGTGAATGAATGAATGAATGAATGAATGTTACTAATGAACAATTTTCTTCATCTATAAAGTGGAGTTAACTCACTAGATAACCCTTAATAGTTCCTTTCTGCTTTGAAACCCAAGAATTTACCAGTGTGGGCCAAAAAGCATTATAATATTGAGCCTGGATATATTCAGCATTAAGTTGCCTTTTCAAAGATTGGTTCTGTACCTTTGTCAATAACCACTGTCAGATGATTTTGGAGCAATTAGAAAGGGGCCAAATATCCAATATCCATCTATATATTAAACAGTGTCCAATTGTTATATTCTACATACTAAAAAAGAGAGGGCACCTAAAGCTGGAACATGAAAAATTACCTACTTAGCAACACTGGAGACATTTCATTTTATACTAAAGCAGTATAAAGCAAAAAGAACTAAGTGCTAGCAGAGTAACCAGGGAAATATCTTTGTTTCTTGGGTAAATCTCAACTAGCTTGGTAGAGCACACCAAAGGTAATAGCAGATGTATACCTCG